AGCAGGACCCTAAGATGGTGAGGGCTTGAGCACATGATGTGCGATGACATGCTGAGAGAACTTGCTGTTTTAAGAGGAGAAGGCTTAGAAATATTTTTGAGACAATTTTTCTTCGCCTGGTACCTTCAGAAACAAACAAACAAATCGATTTGTAAGTCTGGTTACAGATTTACATCAGTCCAGCAATGGTGGTTTGAGAATCCCTAAATTCTCACCACACAGAGGACAGGCAGTAACTTCTACATTAAACTGCTCAAACTCTAGAATGCTGGAGCCTAGTGCGGTCAAATTGCTTACGCTAGTGATGATAATGTTGCTAAAACTGTATTTATATAGGTTGTGAATATTACATGTCTGGTTAGTGTGAATGTGGAAGCTGATTATGCAATTGACGTCTTAAAGACTCTGCATTATCTTTCTAAGTGCACAAATTGGTATTAACAGTGTTAAGAATTTTGAAAAAATACCACTTCAGACATCTACGCTTCTTAAGTACTTAGCAGAAAACTGGAAGTATTAACAAAGGCATTAATGTTTAACAAAAAATGTAGATGGAAAGCTCTGGAAGAGTAACTCTTAGAAACAAGTGTGAAAGGGGGATAAATGCTAACATGGTGCTGTTGAAATGCCTGTGAATATTGCAGATTAATACACTGAGAGAAAGCAAATATTCTGAAACACTTATTCCACAATTCGCTGATCCACAGCGAACTATAAGCTAAACGTAATTGGTAAGTGAGAGGAAGACAGAGAGTCTGTTGGTGATTTTTTTTTTTTAATTTTTTTTTTAATGGAGTAATTTTGGGATGTTTAAGGCTTAACAAAATATCATAAACAACTGAAAGAGTCAGAAGTGAAGAACAACATCAATGAGCAAATGATCATAAAGTAAACTTTTTTCAAGTTTAATCAAGAAGGATTTGAATTTGTGGTTTTGATCTGCTAAATGTTTTTTAGTTTTTCTTTATTGATATGGCAATAGCAATAATAACTGTATCACTGGTGTTCTGGATTTATTCCATGCAGAAGGAATACAAATGATTATTTTCATGACTGAGTTGAGTCTTCATTGCATGGTCTTATCTAATTACTGCAGATTGTGAGTGTTAGGATGTTTTAAGTCATTCTGAAAACATCCCTTAACGTAAATTGCATGTGAATTTATTTTCAAAGTTATTTTGTAAAGAGGGATTTCTTTTGAATATTTAGGTACAGGTCTGTGGATAGGAACAAATAACCTTCGTTTTAGCACAGCTGGAAATGCCGAAGAAAGTGTAAAATGTAATACCTACAATGCAGCTGCTTGCATTCTAACCTGTGTTTTTTGAAAATCCATAGGTCTTATTCCTACTACATTGAGGTGTCCATGGATGAATTAGACTGGATTCGGGTTATCGATCACTCTAAATACCTCTGTCGGTCCTGGCAGAACCTGTATTTTCCTGCCCGTGTCTGCAGGTTAGTTCATCACTATAATGTTGCATGGCTGCCGTTAAATAATGTAGACACAAGAATAAGTTGCTGGATTTTGCTATTGCATTATCTATTTCTCAAAATGTATGATATACAACTTTTATCAGCTGTCTTAAAATAAATGTGTCTATCTTGGTGGATGCTTTTTAAATATAAATATAAATTGCAAGCATCCTGTTTCAAAACTCTGGTGCTTCCATCTCTAACCTCTTTCTCCTTTCTTTCCTTTTTTTTTTTTTCTTGTTTTGAGTCATGCTCGCTTTTCCTGTTGCAGCTGATGTGTTTATTTCACTCAGTAGTAAACATAATTACTTGACTTTCAAAATGTTTAAAATGTGTTTGCATACTTGCTACAGAACTTAGAAATGTGTTTTTATGTATTTTACATGTTTTCTGCTGTTGCATTGGAAAAGTGTTTTAAATAGTTGTGAAAGAGGAGAGTTAGGACTAAGGAGGTTTGAGCAATGCTTTTTGTAAACCAAGGGAGCTAGATGGGTTCAGTCATTGTTAAGGTGATGATGTCTTTTTCCTGTAGATGCTGGGAATTCTGGAAAAAGCTTATAATCACATTGAACCTGTGTTACCCAAAAACTGAATCAAGCTTATTGATAGAGAGGCCGTAATCAGTAGATTTCCAAGATGTTATCATCATTAGGTTTTGGGTCACATACCCAAAGAGGAAAAAAAAAATGCCCTCTGTTGTGATAATTACTCTGTAGACACAAACTTTTTATTTGACACAGCAATACTTAAAATCCCCAAGAGTGGGAAGTGCTTTCTTTTTTTCAAAGACTGGCCTTGTCTCTGATCTCTACTGCTCTGCAACATGGGCTTGCTGGCAAGCAGTTGTAGTCTGTGTGAAAAGTCTGAAGGGTCATGTGTGTGTCCCTCCTTCTCAGATAACTTTCTCAGCCTTCCTGTCCTTTATTAAGGTCATACTGAATGTAACTGACTTGAAATCTATTTTTCCTGATACAAACAAATACATTCTTACCTTTTCCACATAAGTTTTATAATTCTGATTTTACTCTTTCTCTTTCTGAAATGGTTGGCGCTGCCCCTTACTTCTTGTGTGTATCTGACAAATGTTAACTATGATAAATCATCTAGGAATGATGAAATTCCTCGTGGAGTTTGTAGCTGTGTTTTACATTTCCTGGGGTTATTTTTTGTGTGTGTGACCTTAACTTGGTGTAAAGTGGATGGATTGCTAGTGAGCACAGCTCTTTTTTTTTTTTTTTTTTTGCTTCCATCATGTTACCAAGAAGCTTTGAAGGGGTCTAGGGTGTTACGGTGGGACTTTCCTGAATCTTCTTTCAAAACGGCAGCCATTCTTTGGCCTCTTCCAAAGACTTATCTAAAAGTGATTTTTCTAGTTCAACACCAGTTTATCTGTTTGTCGTACCCCCTTCAGCTGTCTTCATCTGTGTGTGTGTGCGCTATGTTGTGGGAGCATCATTGTTCTGTATTGGTAATGACTTTTTGTAGCCTTGTCTGAAAGTGCTCAGAAGGAAGAGTGGAGGGGAGAACATTTTTCCAGATATTTAGGTGGTACCTTACTCATTTTTTTGGCATAGAAGGAAATCTTGTACATTTTAGCACTCCAGTGATCTCCAGTAGGTGACTTGCCCTCTATTAGAGGAGAACAGGAGGGAGCTTATTTCATGTGACGATTTTTTTATACATAGCTGTGTATTTTCTACTTACATGCATGCACAAACACACCTGGAAGCCTTCCCCTTGCAATTTTATTTTAGCAGATATTTGAAGGATACAGTTGTCCAGGTAGCTGCAGGCAATATGAGTTCTCATTTGTGAGTCAACGTGATAATTCAGGGTAGTTTAGATAAGGCTGTTCTGTAATCTGTCTTTACATCAGTGAATTGAAGCCTATATTATAGTAAGAGTGCATTTGCTAGTCAAAAGTAAAAGTACCGTGGCTATAATTTACTACTGCTCTTTATGTATTCTTTTCTTGCAAATAAGAAGAAAAGGCTATTTTGAATGTAATAAGAGACCTAAAATTGCAGACAATTTTTTGAGCAGTTCCATTTCAAGAATTTAATATTTATTTATTTATATAAATATAAATTGTTAGGTCTAACTTGAAGGTTGGCTTTGCTTTGATTAGGGGTATGGACCAGGTGACCTCCAGAAGAGAGGCTTTGAGTGCGGGGAGGCTATGCACATATCTGTATTAGTATTTGAGTCTTTCATTTATCTGGCTTTAGTTAATATTCTGTTTAGAAAGAAGTAAACAAGGAATATTATTTTTTTCTGACTTTAAATTCAGGGGTTTATAATTATGTATTTAAAGTAGTCTTATTTACTTGAATGAGTTAAACTAGTTATCTCTAAGATATGTACTCAAAACAGGAATCCTAAAATACATAGCAGTTTTTGTCATCTAAAAAAGAGATGATTTCCAGTGTTGTGAGCACTGTTACAAGCTAATATGAGATTATGTCAGAATGTATTCTTTTAATATTTGATATTCAGTTTTTACAGGTAAGTTATGCATGCTTATTTAAGGGCAGATAGGTTTGTGTGGTTTATATGCCATTTAGAAAGAAATTATTACCAGATTATCAGCAGATAATTAAAAACCCCCTATTTATTTAATTTGAAAATGTAAATGCCTGCCCTGTTTTTAAAGGAAGACTATAATATAACTCAGCAAATCACTTGCATTTAACAGCAGTACGTTAATCGCTACATTCTTTACATTCAAAGCTAGTTGGTTTTGTGTTACTCAGCACTGCTGCTGTTGTCCTCTTGAGTCAGTGCGACAAGTCCCGGTGCCAGAATTTTTCTGTTTATGGGCAACAGTAGAGAGGAGTGCATTGCAAGCATCATGCTTTGCTCTGTCTTCTTGCCATTAGTTTTATTGTTTATTCCCATTATGTCTTATTAATGCAGATAACATCTTTGCAAGCAACCACTTAGGGAACTATGCAGCAATTTTTTTAAGATTTGTATGCATTTTCAGCAGAAGGTGATGGACTAAGTATCTTTCTCAGTGCAGTTTCTTACTGGTGTAGGTCTGAGATAGGTGATGTTTGAGGGGTTTTGTTTTTAAAAAACATTTATTTTAGCTCAAAGGGCTTTATGACATCACTCTATAGGATGGCATTTTGAGGAGCAACAAGGAATTGGATACTAGGGCTATTAGCTTTCTTATTTACCCACCTTTTTTCAAAGCAAGGGAGTAGAATATGCCAGATTCTGTACACGTTGTTGAAGGACAACATGTTTGTATCTTGATACAGTAAAGCAATTGTTCGTACATAGATTGTAAAGGGAATGTGAGCCCTGTGACATTAGGCAAGGTTAGTTGCCTTTTTTAGTTACCTTTAGCATAAATATTAGTTACGCAAGGTGAGAGTGTCAAGAGCTGAACTAATATTTTCACCTGAGTTTTAAGAGGCTGTTCAAACATTTCCATGGGCATACAAAGCGATGGGAGTGTATTCTATTTGCATGTATGTAGGTTGTTTTATTTGTTTTTTGAAAACCTTTCGCTTTTCTCTTAAATATATCTATTTTCAAATCTACAGTCAATGCCTCCATCACATTAGCTGGATGGAAAAAATGCAACCTTCTGGCAGTTAGTTTTTAAATAAAAGAAGTAATTTATACCACAATGAATTAAGACCAGTTCAGTCTCCTTAGCAAGTCATTTATTGTATCATGTGTCATAGTCTCTATCATGACTTTGGGGTTTTTTTAATACATGGAGGATTGTGGAATATTCACATAGTGTTAGAGTTAGGGGCATTAATGTGCTTCCCCTGAAAGACAATTCGTACTTGGCAAAACATGTGCTAAGCCATCCAGACTGGTTAGGCAGAATCAAGTAAGTAGTGTGCAAAGATTACTTACATTCTACTTTACACTCTTCTTCCTGTTATTTACTGGTATGCTCCAGTGTACATTTCATGGGTTCAGAGTAACCTTTGCCAGCCGTAACCTTTTCCTAGATTAATAGATGGAAAATGGAAGGGCAGCAACTAAAGACTTCTGAAATTCTGTAATAAAAAGGAAACGAGAAGATTATTTATGCTTTCTCACACACAGAGATGATTTATTTGTTATTTGTAGAATGTAATCCCTGATTTAAATATACAAGCTAATTTGTACAATGAAGATTATTTCTTAGGCATTGAAGTTAAGCCTAACAGATGAGAGGGTTGCAGTATTTTGAGTTGGTTTTTTTCTTTTCCTTTTCCTTTTTTTTTTTTTTCTTCCCATGGGGTTTTGGGGCTTTTTGTTTTGTTGTTTGTTTGTTTGGGTTTTTTGTTGGGTTTTTGGTGATTTTTTTTGTTTGGTTGGTTTTGGTTTTTGACTTTTTTTTTTGAGGAGGGGTTGTTTTGGTTTTTTTGGGTTTCTTTTTGTGTGTGTGTGGTTTGGTGTTTGTTTGATTTTGCTTGGGGTTTTTTTAAGTGAGAGAAAATGCTAGGTATAATACCTGGGCTGTTCATTGCCGTAATTGTATTTTGGATTTTTAATTTTTGCTTTAAATGCTTATAGCAGACATTATTCTACCACCTTTAAATATTGAACTGCTGTATACTATGCAGAAAAAGCAAGTAAGAGACAACTATAGGGTAATTTTTCTTTTTTAATATGGCATTGTGTGGGGTTTTTTAGTGTTTCTTTTGGTCCTAGTTTCATTGTTTGCATTAACATAGCAATTCTCGTGTAGAACTGAAGGCTTTCTTTAGAGAGGAGACGGGAGACAGAAAATAGTCATGTAAGCAGGTCCCTGTGAAAGTTAGGAACAAGTGTCAGGTTCATAGCTACTCCACCTTCCTTTAACAGTGTGGCTGTGTAGAAGAGAATCTTGTGTCTCTCTGCGGTTTGTAACTCATTTTTGAAGTGAATATTTTTCTTCCATATTTCCAAGTATTTTTAGTATGTACCTGTTAAATAAGCCAAAATGAATACCATATTCTTGATTATATTAAGAAAGTAACTCTGTCCTA